ACATTGCATATTATACGAAGCGTAGCCGTTGGGTTTCCCTGTGGAAATACGTATTCAGGAAAATATCGTTTGAAAGTCGCAGAATTTGTAATTTAATAGAAGAGTGAATATAAGACGGAAGGAAATTCAAGGCAGACGGGGAATCGTTTAACGAAAAGGCGAATTGAATGGAGTCGGTGCAGTTAGATAAGTAGAACGAGTGTGCATGTTGTGAAACAAGTAGAACAGGTCTACGTGTGTACTGATATTATATGTAGTTGAATCGTAACGCAGCTGGATAGAGTAGAATAGGCTTGTAACCAGTGGAGCAAGTAGAATTGTGTAGTATACGGTCAGACAGGTTGAACAAGGCAGGAAATGGACATATCCGTGTATGGACCAATAGGGATTAACAAAGGCAATTGGAACTTTGTGTTATTGCAAACATTTTGTTGCTGTAATACTGTGATATTTTCGAGCTTCGTTATTCACATACTGTATTATTTTACTATTCTAATTTTCAATTTTCGAATTCTCAAGTTTTCAAATTTCTCAAATTTTTGAATCAGTGAATTTTCAGTTTCGATATTCTCAGAATTTTTGAGTCAGTGAATTTCCAGAGTTTCCAATTCTCAAAATTTTAGAATTTTTGGAATTTCAAATTTCAGAGATCCCAAATTCTTAAATCTTACAAAATTCTATTATTTTAATTTTTAACAATTTTACTATTCTTATATTCCATTATTCTGCCACTATTATCCACGTATCTTTTTATTCGTACCACAAAAATCCACTGCATTCGCTCGCAAGAAGAAAAACCAAAAACAAAAAATTCCTCCACACGAGCTAATTCCAAGACCAAACACTTCCACAAACCTTTTTACAGTACATTACACCGAACGCCAAAAGAAACGAATTAAACTCCCTCACGCAACAGCCTACACAAAACCTTCTCCCCCTATAAAATCTCGAACCGAGTAGAAAAATAGGCGGTAAAGCAGATTTAGAGACGCGATTCGTCACGAGGGCGAATATAAAAAAAGCAGAACGGAGGTAATTTAATCGCGGTCACCGAACAGTGAAACCATTAAACGTACACGTGCTCGAAAATGGAAGCAGCGTCAGCCACACAGTGGTATAAGTATGGCATTAACCGGGCACGTGTTACACGCGTGATATAGCGGCGATCGTAATACCTCGTCACCTGTTATTTATTATGCCCGTAACGCGGCGGCGTAAGGCGATACGTTCGCTTCGTAAGAAACGCATGGTTAGAGGGGTTGAAACAGTGGAGGAAGTAGGTGGAAACAGGAAGTGGGTGTTCGCTGTGTGAAACGCGGAGGGAAAGCGTCGTAAATGTCGGGGCTGTCGGGCCGCCTCCACGTTTCAGTCGGCAATAAGCGACGAATAAAGATGGTTATTGTTCGTGGCTGACACGCGAGAATGCGCCTTGAAAATCAACGTCTCGTCTCTTTAGCGCGTTCCACCGTCATGCATAGTGCCTGCAGTGACGTTACCATTTTCCGAGACGCTGCACCGTTTATACTTGGCGAGGAACTGTGAGAGTGTATATTATGATTGAATGCAATTCGGAGAACGAAGAAATTTTCTAATTGAGGGTTTCTAATTTTATAAATTTCGAATTCTTCGAGTCTTCAAATTTGAGGTTTCTAATCTTCGAATGTTCCTAATTTCGAATTCTCAAGTCTCGAAATTTGCAAATTTTCCCATTCTCAAATCTTTGAATTAGTGAACTTTCGAATTCTCAAATTTTCAAGTCTGTGAATTTTCTAAGTTCCGAATTCTCCAAATTTTGAAATTTCTGGAATCTCAAATTACAGAGTTCCCAAGTTTTAAATTCTGTAAACCTTCGAAATTTGAAATCCTCGAATATCCTGAACGTTCAAATTTGTAAATTTTCTAACACCTTAACGTCGAAACCTTAGAACTCTGAAATTCTCAAATTTGAGTATCGAACAAGTTAAACAATTCTAAAATTTGAAAATATTCAATTCTTCAAGCTTGAAAATCCATTACTCAAATTACAACACACAATTGACGAAAGAAGAAATCAGCGTGAATAAATGAAAAAGTAAGAACCTTGGAGTATTATCGTTCCATCGCTATCTTGTTCGATCAAACATGTAGAATGGTTGCCCATTTCCGGAAAGTCTGACTAATTAAGCGAAACGAAGCCGTACACGGATAAGCAGTTTCATTTTAAGTTCAACAGGCCGTTTCCAGCAGCGATACGGTATCTAGTCAGATAAGTAGTACAGGTACACTTGTATACATACAAGTAGAAGAGGTCAACATCTGTGCAAGTAGAGCGGTAATGTACCGACGACCGAGGAGAATATCCCCGTATCGAACCAGACAAGGACTTTATCCACCTGACCTGACCGAATAGACTCGTATGGGCTTCTATCGGAGTTCGTGTGTAGTCAAACTCCTCTGTGATCTTCCAAAAGGGAATAAATTAGGTATCCAAGTACACAAGTGGAATGAGTTCGTTCGTGGTCTGACAAGTTCTGCAGTAGAATTGTTAGTTATTGTTTAAACTTCCTCTTCTTCTATTAAAACTTTCGTCTTTTTGTCAACTTTTATCTTTATTCAAGTGTTGTTTCTTTTATTCCAACGTAATAAAAATTGCAAACGACGATGAACGATAAATTACATTTAAAATAAATTTTCTTACTACAGGATTTTAATTCAAATTTACACTGCGACCTGAAACTTTCAGATCGCTAAATTCATTTTTGCGAAATATAAAATTAGAAGTTCCAGGATTAAGAATTTCTTTGTTATAATTTAAAACAGTCGAGGAAATTATTATTAACATCTCTGATATTAATCCAAAATATACGGAAAATTTGATCGTAGATTCAACGTTGGTTCGAAACTTTGAATCAGTAGAGTACACTTAAAAAACAAGAGAAACTGAAAATCTGTTTTCATTCCATACCAAAATTCGTCGAAAAATACGTTAACATTCCTTAATTAACAGAAATACGCGATACTTCGTTCTCGTGAAAACCGTGCAGGCGAAATTCAACAAGTAGAATAACTCCATGGTGACAGAGGCAAGTAGAACAAACCGTATATTTTCACACACGAGAGTAGAACGACTTTCTACACGACCAATCAAATACAAATTCCACTTTGCGTCAGGAAAACGTTCATGCGACAAGCAAACATTATTATTAGTCTCAACATACACGAAAAATTGAGAGAGAGAGAGAGAGAGAGACAATAGGGAAGAGTCGAAAACAAAATTCTCCATCTAGTAGAATCACGAACGATCCACCGTGCAAAGTTTAATGCTTCCCTTGGAACAAAAGCACGGAAAGCTCGCTACTAGTTGGAGTTAGTACTGCCTCCAGTTGCAACGAAACGTCGCGTTATGAAGTTTGTGGTCGCTTTGAGCCGACGTCGAAACTCTCTGTTGGACGTGGTTGCACGTTCGCGACTCCGTCATGCGTAATTTCATCCTTTCTTAACGAGATTTCTATCTGTAGCGTCAGATCGACACTAGAAACAGATAATGGACTGATTGTTAATAGATTTCAAGCACGAAAAATTATTTTAAATTAATTTAATTTTTAATTTCATTGAGAACGTTACTGGTGACTTTGGAAAATTATTGCGACCAAATATGGCGGAGTCTGAGAACGTAGAATTGCTAAATTTAATATTTGGAAAGTGGGAATAAATAAAAAATTGAAATATTACTATTATAGTGAAATAATATATAAATTTTGAGATCCATGGTTTTGAAGAGTTCCAGTAGGTGTGTCTTGAGAATGTTTGGGAAATGACTAAATATGGCGGACATTGAGGACACCGAAGTGATTAATTCGATGTTTCGAAAGTGTATTTTATAAAATGAGGATAAATAAAAAAATTGAATGATTATGATTGTGGTAGTGAAGTAATATATCAATGTAAAGATCCAGGCTTTTAAAAGTTTCAGAAATATTGCCGGGTATTGTACATTTGACGTTGGAAAGTTTCTTGTGCAATTTTCCAGCAGGATTCTTTCATTCTTTCTTACTTACGCATTCTCATTTTCCCTTCTTCGTGCATTCATATTTTATTCTCTGCGTCTGCAGCCACAGAAAGCAAAATACAAAACGGAACAGAGATCAAACGAAGCGTAGTACCATTGCAACAAATCCTCCGCAAGCCGACCAATTCAGGTCGCGGCAACATAATCCTCGAGAAGTATAAACAGGAAGAATAAACGAAGTGAAAGAATTCGATACGTGAAAGAAACACTTTAGGCTAATACTTGTACCAGTGTACTCCTGACTCCTGGCCGATGTTTATAGTGGAAACACCTTTAATGTGCTTCTTACCAACCAAGGAGCAAACGTGGAAATCTTCCAAGTGTCGTTAACTTTTCAGGCAACAGTCTGGAATCACTTGTCTCGACACACTAATATTGACTTATTCCGTAAAAGCTCGCTAGATTCTTTCGGAACATTTCTATGGCAATCGAAACAGCCTGAGAGAACAGTTGTTTCATTTATATGGGAGTAAAGTATGTGTGTCTCAAAAATAATTCGCAAAAAAATTCTGAGACTTAAAAAAAGATTAGATTAAATATTTAGACTAGGAAATTTGAATCTTCTTTTCTTCCACAAAAAAAAAATCTCCATTTTTTCCATAAATCACACTTTCAACGATGAATTTACAAAAATCAAACTTTTCCTGTACAAACAGGGTGCTTTAAAAGAAATCTTCCTACAAATCTCAGTAGAAGATTGAAAATGGTAATGTCCACAACGAAAACCACCTCTGTCTTTCGAAAGAAACGATCGCTATAAGTAACAGTGATCCGAAAGATCGAAGAATTGGAAAAATAATTGCCCTCGTACACTCACCTCAGGGACGTACAATAAGCGCGCAATAAAACCAGACAATTTATCACAGTAGAAAGAGTAAAGAAGGTTACGCAAGTCGACCGAAGGGAGGATGGAACGAGTTCCTGTAACCATAACGACACGGTGTTTTCTCAGAAAGCTGGGCTGGGAGCATGGGATGCAGTCTGTAACCGGAGCGCTCTCGTTGGCCTTCTTCCTCGGCTTGATTTACAGGAGCGCCTCCCTCTATCATCCGCAACGACGTGCCATGTTACACGTGAAGAATCAACGGGGCGGCAAGCTGAAAGAGAAGAAGACAGTGAGCAAGCCTCCCAGGCAGCCATGGGTAGATCTCAGCCCTCTGGGAAGTCGTCCCGTACAGATGTTGATGCTGGCAGCCGGGGCAGCTGGTTTTGGCCTTTATACGCCCGCCTTTTACATCGTGAGTACCCTAATTACCATGTATACAGCCATTCTTCCCCTCGGCTCAACCCTGTTGATGGTTTTCACCGGGATGAAACGACTGTTGCGCCATTTTTTTCTTCAACGTTTCATTGCTGGAATTTTTTCGAAATTTTATTAGTTATCGGATGACGAGGTCATTCAGACCTTGAAAAAGTGACTATTGTTTGAAATTACAAAATTGTAAAATTTCTAACAGAAGATTGACGATTTTAAGTTCTGTTCGTTGATTCGATTGAATTTTACAAATTTTATTAATATGAAAATTCTTACGTTTAGTCTTTCCTATGAAAGACTAAGAGTTCCTTAGAAAGATCCTAAGAATATAAGAAAATAAAGTGAAAAATTGATCGGTAAAATTGATTGATTAAAGTTTGATACCGTCAATATGCTAATCACAGACTAATTTCAATTTTAGTCACACTTCCACCATTAGCTGTACTATCCACGCAGTTTCATCTGTTACAATTTCTATATGCATTCCAACTGCAACATATCTAGATAGAATAACTGAGCAAACAGAATATGTACCTCTTTGTTTGACCCGTCAAGTAGAATAAGAGTGGATATGGTCAGACGTGTAGAATAATTCTGCATCAAGTCCTGCGATATTCCTGTATAGTCAAACAGACACGTAGTTTTATGTAATTACATCATAGAACTGGCATAATTCTACGTTAATACGTGAAAATAATACCATATCGTGCATAATTAAACTCGAAGGATTTTTCGTCATTTAATTTGATAAAAAGGTTTAAAAAAACGTTTTTGAGTGCTACAGATATCGTAATAGCTAAAATCTTAAAAATAGTTTGCACGATGTAAAAAGGAATTTGAACAAAGAGAAAATGAATATTTCACTGTAAAATAGGTTCGATGATTTTCTCCCAACGAAAGACTCGCCTCCCAATCACTGACCAGTCTGTAACACCCAGTTATCCTGAGGCAAGTATCATCAAAACTGCCAGGAACACGCGTACCCCCCGACAACAGCAATCAGACAACGAAGCACAGTTGGCAACTTCATTGTCGGCCCAAGTTTCACCAAAGTTAGACGGTTTACACGCTCATAATCGCGGTTGACCCCTGCGCTGTGCACGCGTGCACGCGTCAGTTACTGTATCTCAACTCCGGCAGGAGTTCATGAAACTGCTTCCACCCTGATATTGTGTCGGCTGAGAGAATCCTTCGATTTACAGGTCCTGATAGTTGAATGCGGAAATCCTTGAAAATTGAAGATTGAAAATTCTCGTGAACCCATATCAAGCGAAGAAAAACGTAACGATAAAGTGTCTTTAAAAATATTTGCAATTTTGACGTAGAAAAATGATCTCACTGCACAAGCATACTTTTTTCAAATGATCAAAAACACCTCAATTTACACCGACTCGAAAAATTTCATTGCATTGCCCTTAAATTCTCAGCGAGCCCTCGAAACTCTCGGTACCTCAATCAACAAATCCTCGGTACCTTTTCCATCCCTCTGGAAACATGTTATTGCAGAAAGCAATTAGACGTAATAGTAGCTTGAACCGAGCTTCCCTTTTACTCCGTTATTTCATTGTCACCGTGATAAAGACGTGCTAAATAAAGAAGAAGTAAAAATGAACTAGCCTGGATTGCACCACTCGAACCAACCCATCCATCAAGCTTCCTTCCACGATCAAACATCTATCGATCTCGGTTGGTAGCAGCGCAGCCACTTATCTCGACCTGTTTCGAGCTTGTTTTTCCTCCATGGCAATCTGCTAATGAGCACCATCGGTTTCAGGCTGTGCAGGGCCACAAAGACGGTTTAGAGGCGAGCGCGTTGGTACTTCTGCAGACCTGTTTGGGCTTGGCAACGGCACTCGGATGCGCGGCTTGGGGAGTCGTTACCGCCAGACCATCTGCTCAGTGCCTGGTGTCCAGGCAATATCTCTGCCAGGCGGCTCTCCTTGGAGTTGGTCAGTATACAACGCGTTACGCTTGCGAGAATGTTTGTGGACCGCCGTTGCGGATCGGCAGAGAGGGTCGAGTGATTGCCAGAGAGAGAGAGTGTGTGGAAATGTATGGATACGGTTGAGGAACGTTCTCGAACTCCGGGAGACCTAGTTAGAGCGAAGTAATTCGGTCAAAGATTCGTTTCAACCCTTTCACTCCTAACAGCTACTTCCTATTTATATTTTGTATGATTTATTTTTCTAAATGTAAAAACTGATTTGGCTAATTTAACTCATCTTGGTCACGAACTGTGTGTACTTTTGTTTCGAATGGTCAAAGGTGAAGTAATTTTGGTGGAAGATTGAAAACACGTGATTTATGTTTGACCATGTGATTTTGATGGATGAAAGTAAAGATGGCTTGACTTTAACGTCACTGTAGTAATGACATTGTACAGTTTTAAATGAATTGCAAGATATTGCTGTATGTTACACTCGAGCTACCACTTGGCCACATTCCCTCTCTCTCTCCCCTATTTTAAAGGCACACCTTGAATTGCGGTGCAACATCGAGCCCAGAGAAACGTCGAAATTACATTTGATACTGTTTGAGGTTTCCGACGTGTAAGTTGTGTCCTTTTGGAATAGAGTTTCGTCGTTTCGCGAGCACTGTAGCTAGCTTTAGTATTAGATGTCATCAGAGTGCCTCCATTGAGCAAGCTGACTACAATTGCTGACAAAACGTGGCTCGCATTCAAAAACTTTAATGGCATCAGTTGAGAGAAGCCATTTCGCGAATACCACTAACTGTTCCATTCTTTCGCAGGCAAACTTTGTATCTGGGATTTAACACTTGCTGATATTTGCCAATTTTAAAATAGATTCTGGGATTACGCGAGTCCAAGATCCTAGAGACGTAGGATTTTGGAATTTTAAGATTTCTGGATTCTCGAGACTTTAGAGTCCTGAGATTTGTTACTTTTTTAGATTTCTAAGGTTCCAGAATTCCGGGATTGTGGGATTTCAGAATTTTAACTTTGCACAGTTCTAAGATTCTATGATTCTACGAATCAAAAATTCCACTAATCAGAGCCTAAAATTCTGGGATTTTGGAATTTTACGATCACATAATTCTGGGATTCCATAATTCTACGATCGCATAGCTCTGGGATTCCATAATTCTACGATTCAGCGATTCCACGAATCAGAAATTCCACAATTTCAATCACAATCCCTGACCGAAGTCTAATTTCTCATCGACCTCGCTCAAAGAGAGCCCCTTCGACTCTCGGATTGAACGAATCGAACGTGCATTTTTCCAATATAAAACCACCCTCTATTTTTCTCAACCACCCAGTATGCAGAACAGAGCTCACCGCGCGGTAACCACGGTCGCCGTCCATCGTGTGTGTGTTATGCTTTCGCCCAGAAGGTTCGTCGGCCGCAGGTTTCTAAACGTATAGCCCTCATTCAGAGTCCGGACTAGACTCCCCTCTACCACCCTCCACTGACTGTATCATCCTTTTGAAGCGGCCAGGCTCTTCGAGTGTCAGCTGCATACACGTCTTTGCCCCTCATTCAGCCGGCTTACCCTCGACTCCGGTTCCCCGACACAAAGTATTTTCCATTCTGTCCCAGAGTCACCCCCTCGATGCTTCACCCTCCTCTCTTTCTCTCACACTGACCCTGTGTCTCCCTCTGCCTCTCGATCTCTCCCTTTTTCTCTCTATCTCCGCTTCTCTGTTTCTCTCCCTTTTTCTCTCTTTTACGAGTCCTATGTCTCTCTCTGGCCTGCTCTGAGTTTCTGACTCTACCTGACTCGTGCTTCTTCTCCCTCACAGCTCTTGCTTCCTCCTCTAGCTTTCCCTGTTCCTCTCTATCTCTGGTTCTCTGTTTTCCTCTGGCTTTCTGTGGTTCTCTGTCTCTCCTATTTCTCTCCATCTCAAGTTCTCTGTTTCTCTCTGGCCTTCTCTGACTTTCTAACTCTCTGTCTCTGTTTCTTTTCCTCTTTCTCGCTCTGACTCCCTGGTTTCCGCTTTCTGTCTATTTCTAGTTCTCCCTGTCTCTCCTTGTCTCTCCCTATCTCTCCCTGTCTCTCCCTCTATCATTCTCTATTCCTCTGTCTCCGTCACAATCCAGTTCCTTTCTTCACTTTGGCCACGATGGCGAATATCGCCACCCAGCGGATACACACAGAAAATGAGAGAGGACTGCCTGCAATCGTTAATGGGGTTGCTCTGGACAGAGGAAGCACATTTAAAACGCGACGCTCTGTCGAGACGATTTCGTTGCCGCAGTAGAAACTAATCAACCGGTCCTCAAGGTATCCCCGTTTGGGCAAAAGGGGATTGAAACTGGTTTCACGAGGCAAGAGAATATTTCTCTCTGTCTTTGAGAGCTAGAAATTCAATTAGGTAATTTACGGATGAAGGAGTGAGTTCAACTTGCCTTAGCTTCTTAACAACGGTTTATGCAATTTGAAAAAAAACTGCTTAATTCTATTTGAAGCTACTTAATTTCTCCTAAAATGAACTGTATCACGTTTAGCATAATTGGAACGTTTCACTCTAGTACTGTGTTTTACGAAATGCTCCACCTGAGGTAAGAAAACAAATTATCCTCTCCTTCTTATTACTACATTTTCTTCGTGATTAAAGAATAGCTGTGAAGAGAAGTGATTAATTCTATAATTTTCCAATACTTCAACGTGACCAATAAAATTCCAAAAAAATCCCGTTTCCATTAATTTTTCTTCGAAAACCCAAGCGTATTGTACAGTCTGACAATACAATTATTCCACCCGCACCCCTCGAAATCCCCGCGACCGAATTCCAATTCAAAATACAGTCTTACATCGCGACTATTCTCCGGCATCGTGCAATTCCACTCGACAAACCGTGCTCTTGACGGTGAACGAGCCAGGAGGGATGAAAACGTCACGCAACGAAGCTCTCCCCCGTTCTCTGTTCCATCAGGAGCGCGTGCCACGCGGAGGAAATTGCAAATTCTTTCCCTTGGATAGTTTATCTGGCGCGGTTGAATAGCAACGTTCGCTCGATCCAACCATAAAGGCGTGGGGCGTGTAAGCCTGCGCTTTTTTTCCCTCTGTTTTTCGGGGGTTGGAAAACTCCTCCTGGTCACGCTTGTATATTTAGCTTCTCGCTTGTCAGCTCCTCTCTTCTTTTCTCGTTGAAAAAACCGACGTATATCCCGCCCATTTACACACATACACACCCACACGCGTGTGTTACGAGTCGTGCGAGTGAAAATACGGTTCCAACGTTGATTACGAGTTACGTCCCCTGGAATTTTTGCTCCGCGTTTGCCAACCCCCTTGTTCCAGCCGCGAATTAGTGCTGTTTTCAGTTAAGGTTATTGGGTTTTATTTGCAAAACCCACCGGGCGATATTTATGTTAATGCTCCTGTGGAATTTTCGGCTCTATTCGTAAGCCGGGTTTTTGAACAATTCTTTTTTGCAATAAATGACACTTTTCTGTGGGTACATTTAGCGCGGGAATTTTTTTTCAGTGTCACCAGGGAGGATTAACATTGGTGTTACTGTTAATTTGATTTAGCTGTTTTCTATCGCGGAGTGATTTATTGCAGGTTTTACAACGGTTGTTTCGTGTTTTTCGGAGATTGTCGGACGGAATGATGGTTTGAATTATTGCTGATTTTATGCAAGTTTAATTATTAGATTTTGCGACGAGGAATATTGACTTTGACACGCGGATGATTATTTAATGTTCGTTTTATCAAATTCCACGATATTCTCGATATCGAAATTGTGGAATTTTCGTGTTTTTTTTTTTCTATAGCGATGATTTTTGCGTATTTAATTTAGAAATTTGAACATGGTTTGTCAGGAAGATGTTGACGTGATTGATGAAATTGCGGAGAACAGACCGCGGAAATTTGCGTTAGCTGTTAATTGCGAACGATCTGTTTAATGTTCCGCGTGAATGTCTTTGTGTGATCACTATGAAATTTATGCACGCTAGGTGCATAAATTATGCCGTTGTTTGATCGCACCGGTAATTAAGCGTTAAATATTCCGTTCGTACAGTTTATGCGTTGGTAACGTTTACTGGAAAATTACGAACTACGCGTATTTTTTAGGGAAAAATTCGATACGTCGAAGTGTTCCATTTTGAATCTTTCACAGACACACGTATTTTGAGTTACGAGGTGTAGTAACTTGAGCGATAACTGTAAAAAGTTTCACTGCAATCTGTGTTGTCTTTATTAAAACGACCGTCAAATCCAGTCCTTTCCTTTATGGCAGCCGTGAACATACATTTTCGTGTAACAATAAAACACAGTGCTCTTTGTTATTGTTTAAACACGCTGTATTTCCCGTTTTAAGATTCCAATACGCTAATAAATTTGTCAATGATATTTCGTATTGTTTCTCCGATAAATTAAGATGGTCATCTCACAGTAACCAAAATTCCAAAATAACCAACTTGAATAATTCCAAAGTAAAGAGGAATTCTATCACGATTCGAAATTCCTAGAAAATTCCCTGAAAAACTGAGAGCAGTAATTTCATAACGATCACGGTTTATACACTTGAAAATTCGATAATTTCGTCTGTGGAATACTAGAAAAAATTGATCGACAGGAGATCCGCCATTAAAACGGCGGTCGTCTTAAACTACCGCAACCGTCGTCCTTTCTCTCTTCAAACATCCATCCAGAGCACTCGAGTTCCTTCATCCCCTTCGCCAATTCTCCGAGACGATCTCGATTTCGCGAAGCCGCTCGGTCAATCGTCTGTTCGCGCAGCGTGGGATTAAAATTTCACGTTCGAGCGCGCGCGGCCGCGATAAAATATTCCTCTACACTCCGCAAACATTCCCGACTGATTCGTCGATCGTTTCCCTCGGAGGTAATTCACGGTGAACGGATTCCGTTCAAGCGAACGGAACGGATATGCCGTTGAATTAAAAGGGGGGAGAATATTTCGTTCCTTGAACAGTAACAGAAAGCTTCTTTTCTTCTGTTTTATTTTTATTTATTTATTTGTACGAGTGTGGATCGAGTTTTATGCAAAATAATGTAGAAAACAGATAAAATATCGACGATAACAAGTATGCAGGAAAATTGAATTAAATAAGTGTCAGGGTGAAAACTGAATATTTCCCAAAATACTGGTTTCGTTAAAAAGTATTCTAAATTAAAATTAGTTATAGTTGGGGCAACGATATAGCAAGGTCGTAAATTAAACTCTCAAGAATCGGCACCGATTGATGTTGCGGCACTCAAGGCGGTGTGTTGCAGTCTGTTTGAGGGTTCTAACAGTAAACGAATGGTAGCATATGATTTGGTACTTCAAGTAGAAAATGGTATTTCATTTACAAATGGAAAATATGTCAATATTAAGCTACACAATCTTTTTACACTTTCTATCGGTATATAACAGGAGTAGATAAACTAAGATGCTAAAGACATGAATAAGACCTTTACCTGTAACCGTACTTCCAAAAGCGGCTTCCCCCAGAGGGAGAAACCCTAATTTGTCCTAGCTGCATACAGTTTTCAGTAAATATATTAGAATCAGTTGACTTTCGCTGGATACAAGAATTCTTCGTACGGTCCTGACAATGGTTTCAAGTACTTATCTGCTCGTATCTCTGTCAATTTTCGGGTCCCGGCAGCTAAAACATGTTTACTTTGACGTCTGACCGATTTTACGACCTCGCTATATCGTGGCCCTGACTATGTATCTAATTTCTCTGTTGGATTAGTTCTAACAACACCCTGTAGCAATAATCAAGTGGGGACAAAAATGTCTCCGCGTTCTTTTAGACAAAGGCACTAAGGCTTCCACTAGATGTGTCTGGTGTTCGTCTTCGAGTCTAGCACTGCACACTGCGATACTATAAAGTAAACAGTTCCTAGGTAGAAGCGTATCTAATTTCTCTGTTGGATTAGTTCTAACAACACCCTGTAGCAATAATCAAGTGGGGACAAAAATGTCTCCACGTTCTTTTAGACAAAGGCACTAAGGCTTCCACTAGATGTGTCTGGTATTCGTCTTCGAGTCTAGCACTGCACACTGCGATACTATAAAGTAAACAGTTCCTAGGTAGAAGCGGACCCCAACTTTCCTTTTGGGTGCCCAAGACCTTTAGAACGTTTCAAACAGTAAAGACGTTTCCTCTGAGTCCGATAATAAATAGTATATTAACAGTTTACAAAGGCTATTTGATTTCAGTAACCCATTTCCAATACTTTCTAATAAAATAACTGCGAATACACGTAAAAAGTGAATTAGAATTTTCTAAAAGATGAACAGTATGAATATTTTCAAAAATGTCATCAAGTTGAAATGAAGTTTTTTGAAACGAACGAGTAGAGAATTTCCCGTGTTCGCAGGCAAAAGAAAAAAAAAATTAGATCTGTCGACGAAATGCGAACAAAACGAGAGTCTCAGCCAGGCAAACTGCATTGTATCACTCGTCATCCAGCCGCCGTCATCGTCTCCGCCCTCAATCTTCACTTCCACCATCATTGTCTCCGCGCGTCGCTTTCATCGTCGTTTCACGCGTCTCATTATCCCGTCTCGTTTGCTCAACCCTCCGCACTACCAAGCGGATCAAAATCACCATAAAACAATTGTCACACCCTGGTTCAAAGCTCCCTTCAACTTTTCACCCGTTCCACGTCCGCCTCTCCAATACGGTACGTTCACTTCCGCTCGAGTAACTTTTAACGACGTAATGAGAAAAATTGAATTAAATCGTCGGCCAAGAGGAAAATTTATTAACATTGTTAGGTGTGAAAATTAATTTGGCCCCTTTGTTCGCGAAATCTTGACGACTTTATCTACTCGACACCGCCATGTTTGTTTCAGAGAGAGAGAGAGGAAGTTCTTTAGCTGTCCGACAAATGCAGAAAAGTTGTCTGAGATAATAAAATTATTTTCAAAATTAAAACTTAATTTTTTGCGATTTAAAGGCATTCAGGTTTGCGAAAGAAGTGATTTCTACAGCTAGTAAACTGCGAAATAGAAAAAGTCAGTGATTAATGTCGATATTTTATGCGACGATAATTAAGAAGGAATTATCGAGTGATAGAGGGTTTAGAACGCCATTTCGGTGTTTTATTTCTGACTTACGCTAATGAGCATCCTTCCCAGTAAGAGGATTACGAAATAAACTACATTTGAATACCGCGAGGCGATCCACTGCACCCTCTGCTGAAACATGAATAGGATTCTTAAAACTTTCCCTCGTAAACGTGCCCTCAGTAGCGTGCATGAGAGCCGACATAGCGTTTATGTCGCATATTTTCGTCGGTTTTACTTCCCTTCTAATATTGGACCACGGTTACGGTGTGGGTTATGGTCTGTTTGAATTAGACTTGATGGGAGAGAAGCATTTTTAGCGAGGAACTTTCACGGTTGAATTCGGTATTAGCTTGAAGAAAGAATTAATCAGTTCTTTTAGAACTTCAGTTCTGACGATGAATGATGTACGAATGGTTTCTTGGAATCCACGTGAAGATTTGATGTATGAAAATTATAGCAAGATAAATGTACACATAAAAAATACATTAAAATTTTTAGAAAAGTATTTCTATTTTGTAAAAGTGTTAGGGTTGAAAAATTAGTTGTCTGACAATAAGTTCATTGGAAACAATAGATTGAGGATTTTGCTTCTGCAGTCTCTTTCATTTTCCTCAGAATTCTTGAATTAGAATTAAATTTCTTCAGAATTAGAGAGAGAGAGAGAAAATTCTAAAAACGAAGTCCTGAAGGATTATCCGTTTTCTAGCCATAGCTCAGGTGGCGTTGGGCAGCGTGCAGGACTACCACGGTCTGGTGCTCGTTTCCGGTTTGTACGGCGCGTCCCTCGGCGGCGCCCTTTACTCCCTGAAGATGCTGGCCCTCGAAAGACTGAGGGCGAGACACTTCGCACGCTCCTGGGCGCTCGTGCAGGCCGCGGAAGCTGTACCTATTCTTCTCGGGGTTCCTCTTACTGGTAAGTCGCTTTGCCCGCAAATCGAAACTATTCAGCCATGTTGGAGAGATTGAACGGTAATACGATACCATCGATTGCTCGGGATATTGTTCCCCGCAAGTGGTTTGCCAAGTCAATTTTTCATAGCAATTTCAAGAGAATTAAACGTCAGAATAGCCTCTTTCTATCTTGATAAACCGGATGCAATTCTGGAAAAAATATGCAATTTAATTCTACCCTGCTTTTCACTCAGACGGCAGACAATTTTGATCGATCGTACGTTCTGTCGAGAAACAATATCTTTGTTACTTCGATCTACGTGTAATTACGTTTTAATCTAGTTAGTAGTAACTCTGAAATGAAGATGAATTCATGGTGTAGAGCAGTGATGGCGAACCTATGACACGCGTGTCAGAGGTGACACGCGTCGACTTAAGTCACCTCACAGCCGAAACCGAGCAGATCACAAATAATCATCACACAAACAACAACGAAAAACAACGGTGTCTATCTTCTATCAACGAGGTTCAGAATGGGCACGGCACCCGAGTTAAACTAGGTTTTTTCCCAATTTTGGCACACCGAGCTCAAAAGGTTCGCCATCGCTGGTGTAGAGCAATAGGAACTGTGGAACGAAATTTGAGGAACATTTGAGTATTCTTCACATTGTCGAAGAAGTTAAATTCTTATCAAGGGTCTACCATAATAAGGACTTTCGTTATTTCAAGAATTTCCAAGCAGCAAATTTACAATTGCTGTCCAAATATTGCCCTACGGGCAAGAACACTACCCTGCGGGCAACAACACTGCCCTACGGGCCACCGTATTGAGCAGCCCTGCATTATAAGCTACCACAGTTCCTAGAATGCAAATATCACCCGACAAATAATAGCTCCCGACTCGCAATTACAGGTTACATGAACGGGAACAGCTCGAGGGTGGGTTACTACGCGTGCACATTAAGTTCCTTGTGTGGTGCAGCGTTGTTGTTCCTGGTGGGCTGGGGTCGCCAGCCAGCGTCTCCTCTTCTGCCTGGCTCGCACCTCTCGAACGTAACGATTCCTCCGCCGTGCGCCTGTCCACCTCCGCCCAGGCCCAGGCTGCCCAAGTCCCAATCTTTGCACGTGCCACTGGACGAAGAGACCATAAGGTCTCGGGAGGCCGAGAGGATGCACACTACCGAACACTATTATCAACCGCAGTTCTACGGCCCGCTGAGACCCAGCAAGAGCGTTCCCGAGGGTCTGAGCCATCAGGACTCGTACAGAAGTCGGCCGAGACGACACAGGGACGTGACGGTGATCGAGCAGATCACCACTAGCGTCTAATCGAAGTAACGAATCGCGAAACTATAGAGAAATCGATGGAAAATGATGAGAATATTCTTAGGTGTACCGATAAATAATCCGCTATTTTTCTTCGAGTCTTTTTTTTTGTGGTTCTGCTGGGACTTTCGTCCAGCCAATTTTGCAACGATCCTGAACATTCAGGATCGTTAAGATTGAAGTCATTTTGTTTGTCCACTTCTTCGCTCAAACAGAGAAAATTTGTCGAAAATTCGTACTATTTGTCTGTTGTGGTGTTCTAACTTCTTAAAAAACTGGCGGACAATTTATCGGTACACCCGATAGTTACTATAAGGATGGTTGAATGTTTCGAGACAGTTGGAGAATGAAGCTGTGACGTGGAGATGGAATCTCACGGAGTTGTTGATTGTTGCTTCTTTTTCGACGGTTGAATAGGCGGTCTGATAAGATGAATATCGTTGGGGATGCAATTGTCATGGAGTCTCGATCATTTGTATGGCTTGGTGCGCCAAATCTTTGTAGATTTCTTCGTGGAAGAAGGGGGAAGTCTCCGCGACAGCTTGCCTCGAAGACTGTAATCTGAGACAATGAGGGACTTTACGATGAAGAAGGATCTTTACGACCGCGGTGAATCCGGGATTGCGCTGTTTCCCGCGGGATTCCAGGATTCCAGGAAAGACAGGCACTTTTTTCTCCTCTTCCTTGAATTTTTTCGGCTTCTTTCGGCCAGAAGCCTCCTGTGAATAACGGCACGGGGTTTGAATACTCCTGGAAGTCACCCTTTCGGCGTTTCTGACAATGTTACAGCAACGTTTTATGTAAAAAGTGAACTTCTAAGAGCCTGTGTAAAAATTAACCGTCGAAGTCACCTCGTCTTTATTCTATTTCATTTCACATAAATTCAATCGTCTACATTTCTCACTTATCACGTTGACTCTCGCTCCAGATTTACGCGTTGCTCTCAGCCAGAAAGAAGAAAATTTTCATTATTCCTTATTTCTTTTTAAATTCAAAATAACGTCTAATTAGCTATGACGTTCAAAATGTTTACTCGACGCTATTCGTTCTATTTCAATTACTCTAAACACTTGCATTCGACCAAAACGGTAGTGAAAACGTGTGAAACCACCGTTCTCCGAAAAAGAAATTCCACGAAACGCCGAAAATAGGTGACTCCCGATTCTCACGATTTCCACCCAGCACGTGCAACAGGATATTCCCGTATAATGTTCCCGGTGAATTGTGGCGAAACCGCGTGGAAACGCAAGCCCTCCGCGTTGCTCTTTAAAATCCGACAATTATTGCTCGTTGGCTCGAGCGGATAGCCTCGCTTATCCATGCACTGGCTGGCTGGCTTGCCTCGGTCCGGTTCGGTTCGCTTAATCGAAACGATCTTTTGTGCGCGCAATATCCGTGAACAATACCAGGGCTATTATCGCGACGGTGTTCGCGAGGGCCTCTGCACACTCTCGACGCGCGAGAACCGGCTGACATCGAAATCTCGCATCATCGGGAATTCTATTGAACGCGATCGCTAGCGAATGCCCGATTGGCAGATGCCAGGCCAACGATGCGTGTCAACAGCAGCGTGCGTGCCTGCGTGTGGATCGTCAACGATCGTACTCTGTGTCCTCTGCGTGTCAATTCCCTGCAGTTTTAGACGGATGCTGCTACGCCGCCCGGCCGGAAGTGCAACTGGCGAACGCGTGGAGCTCCAAGTGTGTCTTCTTCCTTTTTGGGCGGGGGGGTA